TACAGATTTAATGAATGATGATATTTTATATATAAAAAAAACACTTTCTCTAGTTTTGCTCTAAAAGGATGCCTCGAGATACTATTAGAGTAAAACTGAAATATTGTAGCCGGATGTAAATATTAGGTGACGCCTCCTTGTGTAAATGCCATTCTTGGAAACAAAATTTTCATCCTTTTAATTCAAAAGCACACGGAGTAATTAGGTATTAATCTTCAACTTCCATATTCAAATTTTAATTGCCTGTGTGCAAGACATAATATATGCCACTAAAAAAGTCGTTCAGATAAAATTATTCTTCCCCAACGTTTCTTTGTCAAGTAATCTTCCTTGTAGCTTCAGCATGATTATAATATATAAGTCAATATATCTTTGATAGTGCCATTTCTTTAGAAATAGTTTCTTACTGCTCGCATGATTGTTGAAAATTTCAGAGAAAATAGCACAATAGTATGGTATGAGCAAATTTCCAAGGAATGGCACGATTGTACGTATGCATACATAAAAAACAAAAGGATGAGGAATTTTTTTGTTTTTCCTTTCTTTGTTTCCTCCTTTGTAACTCGTAAGTGAAACAAAGCATGGCGGAGTCACAGACCAAAATGGTGGAGTCATGACCAAAATCACGAGGGACAAATGTTTATTGTTGGGCAATATAAGGATTGAATTGAGAGCCAACAATATTGATGGTAGTTGGAATTGGTCAAGGCTCAAAACAACTATCTTGATGGTATGGACAACTACAAGATGCGAAAACGCCTAATTTCTTATATGATGGGTAATATATTGTACTACTTATTGATAGTTAGCATAATGCGACTAATCTTAAGAAATGTTTTCTTGAAAAGCAAAATTAGAATTAGCATTTCTTCTTGTTTTATTAGTTAGTTGAATAACTAGTATTTGCGTTTTACAAAATTTATATGCACAATCAGTGAGTATTAAATTGCAATGTATTTAATATCCAAATAAGTTATACAATTACAAATCATCAGAGAGTGAGTTAATAAATCAACCAAATAAAGAAGTAATAGTACAACATAATTCAAATTTAGCAAAGAAAGAAATATTCTGAGAAATCTTTTGTAATGTAGAAATATTCTACGTGTATTTTTCTTTGTTCTTCTTTCCCCATAATTAGCTCTTTTATCTCTTCAATACAATAAATATAATTGGCTATCCCTTTAATATTACTTTCAATCTAATATCATATCATTTGAATTTTTATACATGTATCTTTCATATTTTTTGGATTTTGCTTAACTTGTTTCTTATTATAATGGGGTTTTGATTAATTTAAAATTTAGTAAGTACCCACTATTATTTTGTTTGTGGGGGTGCAATACACAATTTCTGTAGTTTGAGAGGGTACAAACTGTTAAACTATAACTAAATAAAAATACAATTGACAGTAATTGTAAGGTATAAAAGGAAATTTTAAAAATTTGAGGGAGAAATTACCCACCCTCAAATGTAAATAGCTCTGACCCTGCCCGCTACTGCATTGAATAAAATTTCTCACCCTACTAATAACTACAGACCACAACCTTATTATTATGGAATAATTTCAGAACCTTCCTTGTGGTTTCTAAGAATTTCATGTTGCTCGTCTTGAATTTTTAAAATTGCACAAACCTTCCTGATTTTTAAAGTCTGAATAAAATTTTTTTCAAATATCCTAAATTACTCTTTTTAAATTGAAAAGAAAAAAAGAGAAAACAAAGTTTCCTAATTCCTTCCTCGACTCCTTGAATCATTTATGTTCCAAACAACCTACAAATCATTAAAAGACCAAACCATCCAATGTAAAGACGGTTTTCAGTGCTGGATATCCAATTGTCAACCCAAGCTTCATAGGTGCTCAGGCGCTTCCCCAACTTAAGCTTGCATATTTTTTTTAATGGGGTGTGGAAGCTGCCCTTTTCTTCTATTATTAAATGGATAGTTATAGGTAAAGATCACTCCTAATTGCTAAGATTAAATCTTAATTATAATATATTCCCAATCAAGGGAATCCTTTAAGGATTAAAGTAAGTAGGTTGGAAGGCCCACACTTCTGCCGATATAGAAAAACCAAATTCGATCCAATATAATCAAACCAATCCAGCAGCCAAAAAATCCCAACCAGGGCTCTTCACCTTGCCCCAAAACTCTCACCCTAAACAGACACTAATATTTCAAAGAAATTCAACCTCAATGCTTTCTCAAAACAAAATTTCCATTAACTACCAATCTTTACATCCCAAACCGCCTCCACCTTTCTCTAGTCCATTTTTCAGCTTCTTTCTAACAAACAACCTAATTCCCATTAAATCAAAAACCTCCATGTTTTAAAGTTTTGATCAATACAGTTCTTGTGCAAAAGATAAAAATAAAGGTTAAATGCAAAAAACTGCCATGAACTTTTATAACTATTGCACAATACATCCCACAGTATGTTTATAGGCACTTTGCACCCTAAGAAAACTATCATTCACAAATTTCATGGTCAAACAAAGTGCGTGTCTTGCAAGCTCTGTCTGTTGAAATTTCCTGACAAAATTGCCTTCCTTCCAAATGAGTATAAATGGCTATCTCCACCTACCGTCACTTGTCCATTCTGCTCATTTATTATCATCTTCATCACATCCTTTATTTCCTTTTCTTCACAGATGCTACATAGTCTTCTACACACATGGAGCACAATCCTAACAGTTGTAGCTCAAGCAATGCATATGAAGCAACAAACTTCTACTCAAGATGTAGGGGTGGAAGAATAGCACCTCTATGCACTTCATGGACTATTCACAATCCAAGAAGAAAATTATTTGAAATAACTATTATAGTATTTTTTGGGATGTGGTGTATGTAAAAAAAAAAAAAGATGATTGAAAAAATAAAAAGTTGATTGCAAATTGTGTTTGTAATGCAAGCAAAATATTATTTAGAATAATTTTGTTGTCCAAAAAGAAAACAAAAAGTACAAAAATTTTATCTTCTCAAATGAGTAAAAAATTTCTAAAAAAGTGTCGTTAACGAATAATATACTGCTACTAATATTTTTGTTTTTATTTTAATCTTATTAATTGCCACTTTACTATTAATAATTAGATTTGTTATGAGCTCATTTGTTTTAGATGTACCTAAATAATTTGAATACCATACAAAATATGCTTTGCAATTATTGTTACTACTAATAATTGAACATAGAAAAGAGATGAAAAGAGAATAAGTTGAAGTTCATTAAAAATACTATACGAATAATAATACTAAAAAATTAAAATAGCTAGTCATACAAGATAGAAAAGAATAAGAAAAATGTAAAATAGAACAAAGTAAAGAGTAAAGAAAAAAGTACCAAAAATAATTGATATATAAATAATATTCCAAAAAATAGTTTTTTTTCACATACATCATATCCCAAAATTATTTAGATACTTCATGTACCATCACATCTCACTCCATGCAATACAATGGCCAACCGGACATGAAGAGTGCTTTTGTCCATTTTTTTTTTTTTGAAAAATTTGAACTTTCCATTAATGTTGTAATCATGCTTACACTGGCTGGATACATTCACAGATAACCAATTACCTGTCTACGAAATGATGGAAACCCTAATTTATCCATTCTAATATCCCCCCTGACCAACCGTGGTAGATCTGAAAACCTATTAAACACCTGACTTAGAATCAGCACCCAAATTTGCAAGATGGTCAGCTGGAGCATTCGCTTCCCTGTAACAATGTGAAATCATTTGAAAATGTTGTTTAAACATAAACAACTCATCCAGCTCCCTTTGCAACCGCCATGGGCAAGTAATAACCCCTTGCACGATCCGAATAAGGGTAAGAGAATCCGGCTCTAAGTGTAACTCCAAATATCCTTGAGCAATACAGTATCTAACGCCAAGTAGCAGCACTCGAAGCTCCGCATGCAGACTAGTCATCGTCCCAAAGTGCTCAGAGTAACCAAATACAAAATTACCTAGACAATCACGCACTAGACCACCTCTTCCACTCAATCCTGAGTTCCCCCGAGAACACCTATCCGAATTTAACTTGTACCCCCCTGCGGGGATACCCAGCTGACCAACTAAATGATCAACCTCTTTTGTCAGTTAACCAACTCTCGAAGCATCCCTTCTGAATCCTTGTGAACTGTACATGAAAGATGCCACTTAGTAGTTGGACTATCCGACTCATAGTCTCCTTGACGCTCATTCCGTGTCCTTCAAAAACCCCCCTGTTCCTTGTCCTACATAATTCTTAGCAAATCACCGATGGGAGAACACTATTCAAAAACTTCAAATATATGTTATCCCCTCTCCTTAACCACCAAAACCATACCATATGTCGCACCGTATTCACCTCTCTCATTTCACTAGCATTAATCTTGAAATGATGCCAAACCAATCTTGCCCCTTCTCCTGAACAAAAAACATGATTTAGGCCCTCCTCCCGTGGATCCTGGCAACACCTACACCTAGAGGGGCCGCTTATCCCAAATCTCCTCAATTAGTCCGTAAGAGAGAGCCCGCCCTACAGCTGTCGCAGCATAAAGAAAGAGATTTTAATTGGAAGACTGCTGCCAGACAAAGGCTGAAAGCCATGAGCTATTAGTAACCCGTTCGACAAGTGAGTAGGCCGATGATGTGGAAAAGGTGACAAAATTTGTCAAGATCCAAACCATTCTATCATTGCCCCGAAAGGATGGGGGTGCAACCTCTAGAACACGCCCTACTAGAGTTTCATCCAAATACTGATTAAGCATGGTGATATTCTAGCCCCCCCCCCGATCGACAAAATCAGCCACCAAATGGTCATGGAAGATCTCCACCTTTTTGCATAAGACTCCTGATCCCATCCAGTTGTCATGCCAAAAATCCATCGATCCTTGCTGTACGATCCAGCTAATGTGGTCCTCCCCTACTTGCTGTACCGCAACCATCCACCTCCATGTATGGGAACTCCAATGGCTATCCTCAGCTAGACAAGGATGCAACCCCGCACAATATTTTCTTAACATGAACTCTTCTCATAGCGATTGCTATTGTCTAAATTTCCACCAAAGTTTAATCGAGAATGAGTTGTAGACCTCCTTAATACTGCGCAGACCAATACCCCCTCTTCCTGCGGCCGACACAAATCCTCCCACCGTATCCAGTGGAATTTAGTACCAAAATCAGACGACCCCCACAAGAAATTTGCAAATAACTTCTCCAATGCCACGAGTATCCCCTTTGGAGGAGGAGAAGCTGCGAGCAAATGATTCGACATTGAGGATAACACACTCTTAATCAATACCACACTACCTCCAGCTGACAAAACCTGATTCTTCCATGACAGGATATGAGCAACCACCGCATTATATATATCTGCAAAGTAAACATTTTTTCGCCTTCCTACGTACAATAGACATCCTACGTATTGTATCGGGAAAGCTCGCTTTGGAAACCCAAGTGCCTGTCCAATCAATACTGCCCTCGGTGATGGAAACCGCGGATGAGTCAAGAAGCAGCTTTTTTGGGGATTGATCCACTGGCCCGATGCAACACTATATTCCTCCAGTACCCTTTTAATCAATTTTAGAGAAGATCTCAAATCACTGGAGAATATGATAACATCATCAGCATACGCCAAGTATGATACTATAGGGCAACGATGAGGTACTTTAAAAGGGGTGAATCGCCTCTGTGTGACTAAATTATTTAGGGTTCGAGATAGCACTTTTGCTCTAATAACGAATAAGGCGGGCGATATGTGATCCCCTTGTCGTAAACCTTGTGAAGACTTGAAAAAATCTTATGGAGAGCCATTAACCAATACCGAAAACCAGGCATTAGAGATTAGGCGTCATATCATGCCTATCCAGGTCTCACTGGACCCGAAGGGACGAAGCACTTGCAGAAGAAAATACCATGAGACTTTATCGTGCGCTTTCATCATGTCTAACTTAATCACTACATTACCACCTCGATTTGTCTTCTTGACATCTGTTAGTAACTCCTAAGCCAGCAAAAAATTATCTGCAATTTGTCGCTGTTACATAAAATCGCTCTGCTGTGGAGATATGATCTGGGGTAATATCTTAGCCAATCTCTCCGATAGAAGCTTGGAGATGATTTTGTTAGCAAAATTGCATAGGCTTATGGGCCGAAACTAAATGAAGTCTTGTGGGTTTTCCACCTTTGGCAGTAGAACAATTGACGTAGCCATGATACTTCGAGGGAGCTCAGCAACGCAGAAAAAGCTCACTACCTCCATGTACACATCCGTGGCTACCATCTCCTATGCAAAGGTGAAGAATTTCCCTGTGAATCCATCCGGGCCCACTGCGCTGTCCTCATCCAGTACAAAGACTGTGTCCTTGACTTCTTGATGAGAAGGAATCACCGTTAACCGTGAATTGTCCTGGGCAGTGGCCAGTTTCGGAATGAACTTCAAAATTTCAGTGGATGTTGAGCCTCTTTCTGCCGTGAAAAGTTCCTGGAAGAAGCTCACGGTCGCATCACCAATCTATGGTTCCTCCTCGATTCACTCTCCATCCGCCTTCCTAATCCGATCAATCACCGCCTGACGTCTCTTTTTCACTACCACTGAGTGAAAGAATTTGGAGTTCCTGTCCCCGTCCAAAAGCCACTTCACCCATACTTTCTGCCTTAAAAAACCCTCCTTGAGTGTCAGTGTGCACTACAGCCACGCTCGGGCATGATGCAGCTCACAGCACAGTTGATCCGTGAGATTCAGGTCGTATTTCAGCTCGGCATCCACTACCTCGCGCTTTGTGCATCGAGCTACCTCAAAAATATCACCAAATGAATTCTTAGACCATTGTTTGAGAAATTGTTTAACATTCTGAAGCTTTGTTGCCAGTATATGCAGGGGAGACCCACTGACCGATTGAGACTAGCAATCTTTAACCACCCCCAACATTCAAAAAGCGAAAATGGCCTGGGTTTATTGTCCAACCTCGTAACCCCTGAGAGTAGTAACGGGGAGTGATCCAATGGATCTCGCCCCCAAATGCTGGACCATGACTTCTTGCTTTATCTCCAAAGCTAGCTCACTTATTAGTAGTCTGTCAAGGCGCTTCCAAATCCGAGCTGTGCTTGATCGATTATTACACCAGGTATACCTCGACCCAGAGTACCTTGCATCAATCACTCTCGCCACTGACATGAAATTCAAGAAATACAATCCTTCCATCGGTTTGAATGGCAAACTGCCCCTTTTTTCCCCCTCATTCGTAATCACATTGAAATCCTTTTCTTGGTCCGTGCGCTTAGCATGTATACATGACAAACTAATGGAAGTTGGAAATAAGTGAGATTGTACTTGAATAGTTAAATGTTGGGGCGACTTTCCGATACTCTAACAGTTAAAGAAAGACCGGTAAAACACCCAAACAGAACCCCATTGATTGGTTATGCAATAGTCCATCCCTAACTTTAGTTTAATATCAGTAATATTCTCCAACCCTGTCTTTAGTTCAACAATTACCACCAATTGTAATGAGTACAGTTTAATAAGTTTCCTAAGTCTTTTTAAATTAGAAGCTCGAGCCACACCCCTTACATTCCAGAAAAGCAACTTAATCATCAGATAATACAGAGAAGGAATTTGTTGATGCATTAACCATAGATCTTAGAGTTCCATCAGAAGGGAAACCAGCACAAATACCTCGCGACTTTGCAAAGGACATCTCCTTGAATCCCATTTTCTCCTACGCATGGCTGCCAGAGATCACTACCGGATCTATATGCAATGTTTCCAGCGGCGACGCCTCCCCACAAATTGCATTCCTGTGACATCCGCCCCTAGGGGATAAATTTCCCACCCGTCGCTGAGTTTCCTGTAGTTCCTCAGCCATCCCTGCGTCAGCTAAATCCCTTGCTGTCCGCCCTTCTGCTTGCACCCCACTAGCCTCCTTTGCCATCCCCTTTCCACTAGGTTTGATGCTCCCCCCACCAGTCCCAGGCAGGGCAGTCACCTCCCCTTCGCTTGTCTCTTCCAGGGCGGCCATTGCCTGACTGTCAGCCACGACACTCTTCCCATAGCCAAATCTGGATACGTATCTATAGTAGGTGGTCGCATAACTACCCCATCAAGACTCTCATTGGAGTACCCTCCCACATTATCCTTCGTGCTGATAGGAACAAGGTCCGTAAGTATCGGTCCTGCCTGAGGCTCAGCCGCAGCCATCTGTAGCTGCAAGGTAGACGTCTTCCCAATTATTTTCGCTAGCACCTTGCTATGGTCATCTGTGGCAGCTGACTCCTTCTAACGAAACTCCACTTTTCTAGTTGTATCCTCTAACTTGGCGTGCTGGCCTGTGGAATTCCGTAACTCAAGTTTCAAAACATGGCATGTCTTCTCATCATGTCCTTGGCAGAAGCAATGAGAGCAATATTTAAGAGGATTTTAAACCACCAGCTCCTGCCAAAAACACGTATTGTTGCCATTCCCAATCCATACCCTCACCGGCATTGATTTCAATAGATCCACTTCCACACACCCCCATGCCACGCTTGGTCTCGACACAGCTAGGGTAGCCACATCAACCAGCAACAGTATTCCCACAATGGACATGATCTGGAACATCACCTCTTTATTGAAAAAATGAAATGGAAGTTTAGGTAATTGGAACCACATAGCGACAACCGATGATTCTCTATCGACTGAAAAACTGTTGTCCAATTGAAGACTCTCATAGGGACGGAAGACACATACCATATCCTCCTGAACCATATTTGATGAAAATCTGCCTCGTTGTGAAGCTGAATCAAAACATGCCTCGCGTCAAGAAGGCCCACCGTGGGTTTCTCTCATAGATCTAGTGACAAGAAAAACTTGCGCACCTTCTCCATCTTTGGTCTGCCTCTGGAGAATTTGCCAACCAATGCAAATTGATACGGAATAGCCAAAACTTCCACAGCTACCTGTGAAAAGATAACAGTTGGCTCCCCTTTGTGAATAGCCGCCTCTACTGCAATGGGTAATGAAGGTTGTGACGAGTTCTGCGTGAACAATTCAGAGAAGGATTTGCGATGGAAAGTAGGGGAGACTGGATGAACTGGATGATGCCCTCCAGCAGGTGGCCGGAAGGCTACCATGGCTGGCCGAATAACCCCTTAACTTGACTCGAATCCTAAACCCTAGCCGCAACACACAGACTTGTGAACCAAACACAGCTACCTGCTTTTGTTCGTTTAATTATTATTTGAGAATACAGTTGTCATTTCAATAATAAAGTAAATGGTGTGTAAAGATTCGTTACTTTTCAATGGAGGTTATGGGGGTTTTCTACATTTAACCTTAAAAAGAATTTTGGTTTATAAGTAGATATAGCATTTTTGTGTTGGCTATATCCTTTTATCTAATAGTTTAAGAGTAAATCTTATATACACACATAATGTTTACATCATTACAGTTGGATGCATGACATATATGCAAAATTTAGCCTTTCATTCACCAAATAATTAAGAAAATGATAAAAATTGCAAGTCGCATGTAATCAAACCATCAAACTATCTTCGTCGCCAACTTCGATTATCTCTTTTTTTTTTGTTGAAACAAGGTATATGCTGAAGTACCCTAGAATAAAAGCTACTTCCTACACAAAATAAATAGATAAATAAATAAATTAGTAAACTACTTTCTCTGTCCCTTATCTTTAGAGATACTCTTCCTGTTTTCTATTATTAGTATGATGTTTTCATTTTCTTTAAGATTCAAAATAAGAGTCACTGATGAACATGGGGTATGTATATGTCAATTAAATTTAATTCATAGTCAATTTTTATATTTATAAATTCTTAAATACTTTATACATGATTTTTCACAAGTATACAGGTTGTAAGTGAGTATAGAGTATTAAGGGCCGAACCCATAGGGAAGATGGACAATGACCAGCACTACTAAAGTTTTTTTATTATCTAGACTATCAACAAATTAAAATAAATAAATTAGGCTACAAATAGATAGACAAATGTAAATAAAAACTTCTTGGGTAATGGAATCCCAACCTATTCATGCTAATGCAACACCCTAGCCAAATGAGTACCAAAATCTCAACTAAATTATGGCATAATATTCTATTATACATGATATTCACTTCTGCCGGTTTACCAACTATATCCATAGTTAATTCTTTCTACTTTCGTAGTTATGAAATCAACTATAAGTTCGTTAATTTCTATGAAATTAAATGAAATAAAGCCACAAAAGCTACAAAGGCATACCTCTACTTTTGCGAGTATACTCCCTAGATTTAATACTTCTACGAACTAGTGTTAAATTCTAATTTTTATTGCAAATCTAAAACCTTGAGTTGATCATAATTAATGGCTAGTTAATAATGATTATAAAAGTAAACGTGCTAAATAATTCAAACAAGATAATAGCATCAATTAGCCAATAAATCAACACCAAACAATTATAGAAAGTTCAACCAAATACCCAAGACATATACTTTAAATCAGCATCACAAACACAATATTCAAATCTTACATTAACAAACTTAGAGTTCAGTACAAAAATAAAAATGTGGAAAGAAGAAAACCCTTGTCAATAGAGATTCTTGAATCTCTCCTTCTTCATCTCTCTTGGCCTCCTTATTGAGCCAATACAAGAATGAATAACCACAGCTAGATTATACTACACTAACTAATATTAAAACAAGAAAAATAAAGAGAGTTACATTTGTTAAGGGCTTGTGTCTTGCCCTTTGATTGTTCTTCTTGTCTTCCAAACTCTCTCTCTTCTCTCAAGCTAACTTGAACTAAAAACTACTCCCAAACTAGAAGAACTAGATAGTATATATTATTGGTCTTGCATGATTGGAGCTAAAATGTCAAAAAGAAAAGCTCCTAGAACTCCAAAAAAGTTGGTAAAAGTTGTCCCTTTTTATCATGTCAAAGATGGAGAAAGAAACAAAAATCATGCAAGTTGGCAACTTGTAGCTGCCATGAATCCCTTGAACCAATTCCTCAAGGGATTCTTCGAGGGATTGGGCAGAGCGCATGAGAAACAAAATTCTGTCCACAATCCCCAGTATAAAACCCAGATAATCCCTCGAGGGATTCTCTTTTTTTTTTTTTTGTGCTTTTCATCCTTGACTTGCACCAACTCTTTTAAACATTGGTGTGACTTCTCAAGCTTCTAATCCTTGCTCATTTCGCTTCCAATTGAGGTTGATCATTTTACTTACAAAAACAAAGAGATTTTGCACTAAAATGACAAAATCACAACAAATTCATCTATCAACTCAAGGTGCAAATTAGTGA